GGCAAAACAGTTTGGTTTCTGCGGCTGTGTCTGAGGGGTTAGGGGAGTCGTTCAGCAACCGGAGGGTTGACGGTTTGATCCTCCATTCAAGCTGTCTCAGTTGTTGTGTCCTTGGGCAAGACACTCCACCCGATGGTGGTCAGAGTGTCCAGTGGTGCCAGTGCATGGCAGCCTTGCCTCTGTAGTGCTCAGGGCAGCTGTGGCTACAGTGTAGCTTACCATCATCAGTTTGAATGTATGTGTGACTGGGTGAATGACTGTAACCAAAAAAAAGTGCTTTGGGAGCGCGACTGGGCTTGATAAAGCCCTATATATAATTTCAGACCATTTACCATTTAAACATTTTCAGACATTTCCAGAGGCTACCGAGGGCTGTTTTTATTTAAACCATGGTGTCAGACAACTTCCTCTGGTTCTTACCTTTAGCATGACACCTTAAATAAAATAAAAAATGTCAAAAGTCTTAAGGAATTTCAGGCCAACTGCCAAGAGGATTGGTTATAAAACTTATTTGAAAAGTTGAACCTCTCACAAGACAAACCTATGTCTGAAAATGGAACAGAACAGTGTTCAACCAGTGACGGGATGACTCTTCTGACACATAATGGATTGGACGTTAATGTGTTCAATATTAGTGGCTTAGCATTAGTGTATACCAAGTTTTTGTCTGTATAACATCTTAGCGGTAGAGGAAACATTGTTGCGTTCCAGTTGTATTTAGAGGTCAAAATTTTTAGACTTCTGAGTTGAAAATATCAAATTGAACGGTCCCCTAATGTGGTAAATTTAAATCAGCAAGTGCGACACGACCATACCCGAGTACACGTGACATCATTTAAACATGGCTGCTGCTCACATTAACAGAGTGATGAAACTCTGTATACTTTTACAGTTTTTAGCAGTTTTGTTTTGTTTTACTTTAGGGGAGAATGGGGTTGTTGTCACAGTTGCTAAAACTTTTCTCCTAGAAAGCGTTGTTACAAAATTTTTGCGTGAGTTTCCAACATAGTTGTCACAGACTACCTACGTTTTTATTTTAGCAGTGTGACATGTTTCAATGAGATGAGAGGACTTGTGTTTTTCACATCATAATGTAACTTTGATTATTTTTTTGAATTGCCTTTAGACAACGGATTTAGAATCAAACACTTATTGACATTTGAAATTTAAAAAGCAGAGCTATAGTTAGAATGCTATTTTTCTTTGCTAGACTATAACGTGTGCTTGTTAGCACAACTGCTGGCAAAAAAATTCCTCATGGGGTTGGTTGTCACATCACCAGCTATGACCAGACATCAGCTGACGTGATGCTCAGGGCAGTCTGCGCCGTGAAACTGCTGCACAAATCTATCTGAAGTACAGCAAAGGACTTTAATATCAATTACCAAACACTGGCAAGATACTACAAACAAGAAGTCCATCAGAGGTTTCTGGGGATGAAATTGGCCCACTGGTACCTGTGAGAAACACCAGGACAGCCTCTTTACATCTGTCAGAACTGTGATGACTGAATAAAATGGATAGGCCCTATTCTGTTCAGATGTAGACAACTTGAATCTGTTTTTTATTCTAATTTTGACAAGTCCTATCAGTTTATGGCAAATAACATGTTGTTACCTATATAAAAAGGTTTATTTTTTATCAACCAAGATATTAAATTAAACATTGTAAATTAAAAAATGTATTAAAATTAATATTTATTTTAAAAGCCTTTTTCTAATTTTTTTCTCATTGAAATCTAATTGGGACAACCAACCCCACGTTGGGGTTGGTTGTCACAAATGCACAAAACATGTTTAATAGTGCATATCTTTTTTAATAAATCCTCCTGAGGATATTTTTCTTCTATTAAAAAACACTTTGGGGTTCCATTACACATTGAAATTAGATTGACTAAGCATAGCATTTTGTTTTTATTTAGAAGAAAGTAAAAAAGTGTGACAACCAACCCCGTTCTCCCCTACATTAAGTCAGTCGTATTTGTAGTACTTTGGAGCAAGTATTGGTATATTATTAGTCAATATGTATGTGTGTGTATATATATGTGTACATACGCACACACACCAGCTAAAGGTTGAACATTTTTTTAATTCTTATACCAAATTCCTACTGGTAGCAGAAGCTTTTTCTTGCCGCTTTTCCTCCAGTGACAAAGACATGCTGTAGATGTGATAAAATACAGTCATCTATAAATAAAAACCATTAGTATTGTTTGGCTCTGCAGCCTGATGGAAAAGCAGAGGAGCGTGATGCTCTGTAAATGGCCAAAGGGCCTGTTGCACATGGAAGCTGAATGTTGAAGCGGCCGTGAAATGGTCCTGGCCAGTCACGAAGACAGAACGTGACATTAATTCATTAACGTAGACCGTGTCATTGCTTAAAAGTCAACAGTGATGAGAACTTGTGCCATCTTTATCTACTAATACCTTCTGCTTTTAAAGGTGCCATTTTAAGATTTGCATGTCAATCCAGTTTTCGATTATATGGGAGCAGCAATGTAGTTCCTTGTTCCCATGCACCACGTAGTTATTGCAAAGCTTGATACATTAAAATAAACAGGCTGCATTTCAAAAAGTATGCAAATGTGTACATGCAACTCTGTTAGCACTAGTGTGTATAATACAACTGATCTTTTTGCAGATAATAACGTACATGCTCAGTGTCAGTATATTGCAAAGCATTGTGGTCTAGGTGAGTTCATGCCTGTTTTGTTTGTTGAAATACACTGTTAATGCCTACCTGTGCTCTGTGGTCATTACATCATCTGGCAACATTGCATTGCTGAGGACATTTCACTTTCACAATGTAAAATAGCTAACTTTTTCTAAAATACGTATTGGATATAAAATTCAATAAATAAAAGCCAGTATAAAAAAATCAAAAGACCTAAGAGGAAAACAGATCTCTAACACAGAAAATAGCGACATGAATGCATTTGGGACCGATTTTACACGAGTAACTGTAAAAAATAGTTTAAAAGCCAAGTGAGAAAAACATTAAAAGGGGCATCCTAAATTATGAAATGGTATGGTAAAAAAAGTTGTTTCCATAAAATTCACTGCACTCAATGTAAACAAGCACTCGGCTGAGTGCGCTGACACCATGGGGAAGACTGAGTGACTGATTTTGACTTTTTGGTTTTAGTAGATACGAGGTATGAATTGAATTCAGTCACAGCTTCTGCTTATTCTTTAAATTAAGGGCGCATAAAAAATATTTAAAAATCATGCACATTTTACCACTTTCATTTTTTTTGCATCTTGTTTTCAGGAATTTGCAGTGATTTTAATTTTGCACAAATTGCTATATTTTCTGCTGCAGATGGAGTGCTTCTTATTGGAGAACTTTAGAACTGATAAGCAACACTTGAAATACACCAAGAATAGAGTCTATACTCTATGTCAAGGGGTAAGAATCATTTTTTTTCCAGTCTTCTTATGATTCACAAGCTTTCATCTGCAAACCCACTGTGATTAATCCAAAAACAAAAACTGTTTATCTGGGATTAGTGAGTAAAGAAAGAGGCAGAGGGATTACGGCTTGGTGTTTAGAGGAGGCAATGCAATATGAAAACTCATCTTATGGGTAGAGTGAGCAAACATCACTTCAGGGTAGCAGCCCAGCGCTTCCTTCACTTTCGCATGCAGGCTGAGACAGGAAAGGGTCCGCAGGTGGGAGTCACTCTTCTAAATCTGCCAGTTTTTCCTTTCAGTCACTTCACTGCAGCTGATGTCACTGACGTCGTCATGGTTCAAACAAAACTTGAAAAGAAGCAGCTGATTTATCCCGAATGTCCTGCGCGTAATCTCCCATGGGCAACCACAAACAAAACGCAGGCAAAAAGAATTGTGCATAGATGTTAAAAAATTAAGAAAAACACAAGTCTAAAACACTTTAAACATGTAAAATTTAGCATTCATTGTATACTGTGGTCTAGTTATTTGGTAGAAAATTTGTTAGCAGAACTAAAAAGGTAATAGGAATTTATGAATAGGATGTGATTTGGCTTTACATCTATAAAGGATGTGACCATAAAATGTCACAGGTGACCTCTAAATAAATCTTTAGGAATACAGTCTGAATGCCTCCTCAATACCTCAATTGGAATTAGAGGTCTCTGCAGTACATCCACATTGTCTATGTGGGCGAAGTTTGTCCTAACCTTTATTGGCAGACGGAGGAAGTTTTTGGGTGGACAGTTTGGTAAAACCATAATTGGTTGGGTTGACTTGTCTTGGGGCAAGTTAAAGGATGAAGTAATAGTAAGATTATTGCAAATGTCAAATTTGGTGCGACTAGCACCATCCTGTCTTAAATTGTGACCAATAAAATATATGTATATATTTTGAAACATTTTTTCCAATGCAGGTTAGGTCTATTTTGACCGAGTTGAATCGTTACACATCCCTCGACATGTACAATGTTCAAATTCCGTGCGGCGAACACAAATTTTGGCTACCACCTTCCTGTCTTGAGTTATGAGTAAAATTAATATTATTTAAAAATATAGCTGGTGTCTGGTTTTCCCCCGCCCCCAAGCTTCCCAGCATTCATCTGACCAAAATTGTTAGGGCTTCTTTAAGCTCCTCCCAAATTAGTCAAACCAACCAATCACGTCTTCAACTTAAGCCTACAAAAGTCAAACAGACCAATCGTGACTTGGACAAACTCCTCCCACAAAACAAGAAACTTCCACTTAGTGACTGCACAGACCCTCTTCTCTTGCGATTGGCTCACTAATGATTCCATCAGCCAGGGTGTTTAACAGCAGCAGCATGAACGGTGCCTTGAGCTCCAGTGGTCAACGCAATGACATCAAGTGGTTCAAGATGTCAGCCAAGCATACCATCAAAAATCACAAGCACATGGGGGGAGACAACTTTGGTCATTTTACAGAGCTACTTTACCAAAAACCTTTTATAAAAGATACATTTCTTCAAATACAAGTCAATAAACGTACAACACTTCTGGACCACTTATTTTTCAAAGAAGCAAGAAACTTTACAAAAAAAGTGAAACAGTATTTATTATGTAAAATGTTATAGGTAAAATTGTGAGTATATTTTTATAGACAGATTACTTTGCTCACAGTTATAAGTAAAAAGGTTTTGACAGTATTAATAGCACCACAAAAACTGAACTAACGTATGACTAAAACAATAAGAAAACAAAAAGATTAATTCAGTCTAAATCAAAACATTCTCTGCTTACTGCCCAACTTGTTCAGTGAGCTCTACAAACATTTTTATGAATTAGCACCACGACGTCTGCAGAACACTGCAGATAGTAGGAAGCCACTTAGAAAAGCACACAAAGAACAACAGGGTGTCGACATCTTCAGAGCTTAAAGCCCTGAAGCAGCGCAACGGCACCTGAGAGCCTCATTATATCACATAATAAACTCTTAAATGAATTGTGTATGTGTGAGCATGCAAGTGCGTGATATGCTGGAGAGCGGACCTCTCCGTGAACTCGCTTTCTTTCTCTGCAGGCGTGTTCACAAACAGCAGCTCTGCCCTGCTGGCCCAGTTATTAGCTCCTCCACAGCGGGGTCCCAAAGCTGCTCTGCTAATGGGACGCCAAATAACCCGGCCAATCCCTCCAACGCACACATAAGGAACCAATATTCTACAGTTTGCTCTCATCATACTGAATCCAGTACTCCTTTGTGTCTTGTTGCATTCTGTCAAATCCCTTATTTTATTACAAACACCGGTTTACAGTTTTAGAAGGGACTACATCAAATACAAAAGTCTCAATAAATCAGAATATCAGGATTTTCTATTTTCTCCACAGTCTCCACAGTTAACAGTCCATCTTAAGCAAGTTGTTGCGATGTAAACTTTGTCAGTTTTTATGGTTTCTTCTCAACAGACAGGCTGTGATTTGGAGTTACACTAGTGTCTCACTGAGTTATTGCTCTGTTGATAGTTTAAACTGTGACGGAGGAAATTTCACACGTCATTGTCGTACACAAAGTTAACAGTACTGCACTCAGGAAGTATAAATAGGACAACTGGTTAGGATCTTTGTCACATGCACAGCATAATTACACCTAATGTCCAAACAGCCTTACAAGTAACAGTTTAGGTATTATTTGCAGATAAATATGATTTTACTCAAACTTGTCAAAATAAAACTAAAACATAAAAAAAACTAACAGCTTCACACCAGCATATCCATTGTAAAAAAATAAGTTACAAATTTGGATAAATATTTTACACACAACAGTAGCAAAATATGCTGAGTGATATGGCAGGTCTACACAAAACAGGGCTTGTAAAAAAATAATAATAAAATAAATGCAAGAACATCAACAACAACAAATTCCAAGTTTTCAAAAAAGAAACTTTTAAAAAAGTATTTTCAAATTAACCAAAACTACACCAGAGCCAGTTTCCATTCCTTATGGTCCCTTCACTCCACATTCAGCAGAGACAGATGATGAGCGCCCCATCCCGTACAGATGTTTTATCAACAAGAACTTCCCTCTTAAGTTATCGTCCACATGGATGACTTCTTACAGGCTGAGCACAGAAATGAGAGAGGGGGGAAAAACATGAGAATGAGTTGTGCATTCACAAATGTAACACATTAGTGGGGATGTATGGTAGTTTGAAAGCTAACAAGTTAGCGTTCAGATGCTGATACTGATGTTGTACCATTACTTTTGCCTTTTATACATCTATTTATTATCTCACTGGGATGCAAAACAGCTCAAAACAGTCACGAGGGTTCTCATTTCCTAACACTAGGAGCAGAGGGTGGCTTGTCCCTCAGTTTAGAACATCTAGAAAACATTGGGTGGCAAAACTTATCCAAAACATATTCTCAAAGTTGTTACAAGTGTCTCAAACCCGTTAAAGAGCTTTTACCAGCACATAAAATGTAAAACTCTACCACAACTGAATACAGAACAGTGACTGCCCAACCAACAATTACTAAAAATTATAAAAACTGTGTGAAAATATTGTTAATCCTTGACTGTTGAACTAATAATGCTGATCAATAAATTGTGCCTACTGCCCAATCCTAGGGACAAACATATAATCCTCAAAATTTGAAGTTATCAGTTTAAGTTAAATTTCAGCGAGACACATTTGCCTTTCTGCATATTTGTAGTTTGCTATGACTAAATAGAAAAAACATTTCTGTTACTTCAGAACTTTGTGTATGACCCTTGTGATGTTTCTTAACAGCTGCATGTATTTGAGTAGTGTGTAGTAGTGTGTTTACTGTGGATGTGATACTGTAGTATGGCCTCTTTTGAATAATGGTATAATTCAATTCAGTGATTCTTTACAGTCAGCTTAGTACTTTTTCATTTATAGCTTGACTATAAGTTAACTCTGTCATAAACTTATTTATGGCAACACAAGACAGATATAAAACACATCACAATATCACATATAAAAAGATACTTGTACTTTACTATAAAGATTGCAAACATGCTAAAGCAGTTAGCTTACCTGCGCTTCAGCCGCTTTTGAGGAAGGGCTCTGAAAGACAAAAAATGTTCTAAGAATCTGGTGTAAAAGCATTTTTTTTTGGTTTTCTTCAACATATCTGAGCTGATTGAGTCTGACTTCAGCACATTAATCCTGCTAATTAAATATATTCCTTCACAACCTGGCAGTCTCTTCTTACCAACTCCATTCACATGCGTGGGCTCGGACAACGACCAACACATTTCAGTTTGAAATTTTCTGCACCAGCGTAACATAAATCGTCTGATCACTGATGGTTATATTCAGTTCTGAAACCAGAGTCCAACAGCAGCTCCTGCAGTTACAGAGCCTTCAGGTCCAATTAAAATCAGACAGCCTGTGTGCTGATTAGCACACTAGTGTGCCATATATCTCTGGTAAGAGGACCATTCAGTTATTTTTGGCATGTAGTTCTTCTTTTTATGGATTTCAGGACTATAAAGTAAAACCATGTTTCTTCAGTTCATTGGGATATTTTAAATCTTATATAGCTGTAGCAATTTAGCTAATGTCATAACTTATATTTATCTTATACGTGCTGCGCTGAAAAAAGCTGAATATGATGTATTAAATACAACTAGAAGTTACTCTTTTGAAAGTAAAAAAAAAATGATACTGATAACACAGACAGCTCTCGTCAATCGGCCAGGTATACATAAGATAAAGGAAAGTTGTAGAAAATTTTCAATAAAAGGTTTTCTTTAAAGATCATCTCTGATGTTTACTATCTTAAAATAAAATTCCAGGCAGTCCCTATTGAAATGCATGCCTGCTGACTCTCAGAGTTTTTGACTAAAATCAGCTTATGATGAGAAGGGACAGAGGTGTTTTGTGTTATGCCTCATCTCAAGATTTGCCACTGTTCATAATATGTGTTGGGAATAACTCTCAGCTACTACCACAACAAACTTTAGCTTGATATCTGTAGCAAAGAGATATTGGTCTTCAGCTGAGTGCCGTTTTAGTTTTGGCTAATGCTGATCAGCTGTGGTGGCCATCTTGAATTGGGGTGACTCCAAAAGTTCGCCAGTATTTAATGTAAATCTATCTTTTGAGAGTTTCATTAAAATCTGATCAGTGATTTGTGAAATATTTTTGCCAAAAACAAAACATTCACAGACATGAGCAAAAACATAAAAGCCTGCAGTGGCGAGCGATAAAAAGCACCAAGATAATATTCTAACATGACCAATAGGTGAACCCATGAATCCAGAGAAAATGTTATTCAGAAGAGAAAATGTGATTTCTTTGAATGGGGCTTTCTAGCTGCTGAAGTCATGAGTTGGTGCCACCTGCTGGAGGAAGATTTGTGTTCTTAAACAAAGATTCAGTACCTAACAGTTCCCATTTGTATTGTAATTTACACAAAACGGAGAGTAGAGCTGCAGTAAAAGCTTAAACATTTATGTCCTTTAAAACCTTCACACAATTAATCCCCCTGATAGGGTAATATTTAGACAGCTTTGATGAAAACAGGACTGGATTTACTGTGTGTGAATGAGCACAAAGAGGCTGCTGGTATTATATAATCCACTCACCGGTAAATGTTTGGGTCTAATAACATAGCCGTATCCTGTGGTAACTGGGATAAGTGCACTACTTTAGTCTTCAGCTGAGATCGCTCGGTTTCATTCACCCACACATCAGGTAGTCTGCGAGACAAAACACACACAAAAATAGGACAGTTAGCCAGGCTTCAGGATTTAACAAAAAGAGAAGGCAGAATGAAAAACGGGAGCGGGATGGGAAATATGAATCTGCAAAAGTCAAGTGCTCGTGTTAACTTCCTCTGAACTCTGAGAACGTTTAAATAAGTAACATGTCTTTGACGGGGAAAAAAAAAAAACCTGGAACTGAGACACAGAACAGCACACACTCAGCAGTAAGCAGTGATCAACGTGTTAACGTGTGTGTGTGTGGGTGTGGGTGTGCACGTCAGCATTTAATGTTTTTTCAAATGTTTCCTTTCTTTTTTTGGTGTTTTATTAATTCCAAAAGTAAATCAAAGGCAGGTTTCTTTTGTCCCTTAAACTGAAAGATAATGAGGTCATGTCTTTAAAGGGATAGACACACAAATCCACACACTGCATTATGCTGCACCTACAACAGTGTGATCCCCTTTGAGAAAGATGAAAGTGCACTGCCTCGACAAGACGGGGTGCAGGAAAAAAAAAGAAACAAAAACTCAAGCAAGTCCACTGCTTCGACTCCTTCCTCAAGCCCCCACCTCCTCGTCTCCACACCCAGCATTCCCCCGTCACAATGTGCGTCATCAGAGGAGCCCCCAGAGACACACACACACACACACACACACA